ATATCTGGGGGTTGAGTATATATGCTGAGCACTAAATGGGGAGGGAATGTGTTTTGGGAGCAATTTTTCAGTTCATCAACCCAGAATGAACAAATAATGAACAAACATTATAGGGCTCGATAGTCAGAACTTACGTAACGAGGGCAAAGTTGTGCCGCAAACAAAAGGATATTGATCGTTAGTTACAAATAACCAATCAATCGGAAAAATCGGAACCGAAACATAGTAAATTTTCCTACGCAGGATTTTTCACATGCGCAGTTTCATTGAAAATTCACAAAAAAGAAACAAAAACAGCAACGACAATGAAGATTAGATGCTTATTTTGAATAAAATTATTTGAATACCTTTTTTTCAGTCAGTTTTCTTTTATTTTTTCATTCTCTAAAAAAAGTTATTTTAACACACTCCACAATTCTAATTTTACAAATCTATTGTTAATTTAATCATTTTTTTCTAAGAGTTTGGGAAAATATTCAAATTTAGCTGTAATTGGAAGAAAAAAATTTAAAAAAACCACTAGTGGGCTGTGGATATTTTTCTGCTGTTTGTGAAATAAACTGAAAAGCTATTCAGGATGTTCCACTTAAAAACTGGGCAGAACCTTTTCAATAAAAACTTATTGCTCCGTTGAACTTGAAGTGATTTTAGGCTGCAAATCGACACTCAAATGGCGACATGTTTGTTTCCTGAAGGACCACCTTTTGAAAAAAAAATCGAGGAAACAAACGACCTCATAAAACAAGATTGCAGTAAGGCGTATAGAATTATTTTTCCTTTTACAGATATTTGTTTTTTTTTGTAGAGAGATTTTACTAGCATTACGTGGGACTCAAAACAGAAGCATGATAAAAAGTACAGTTTGTTTGTCCAAAATGTTTGTTTCTCACCAAAAAAATTACTTTTTTAAAAAAAGTTTTTTTTCAATTTTTTTAGATGAAATGATTGCCGAGTAGATTATAACATGCTTTTAGGCCAATCAATGAACCACTAAAATGCTGAAAGCTAAGAAAATATTCTGAAATTGACCTCATGTTATGAAGACTGAGATTCATCCACTCTTCGATAAAATTGAGCGTGAACAACAAAAACATTTGGACCAGTTTTTCCAGACACTTGATAAACTTTTTTTTTAACAATGGAATATAATCAGTACCGAAAAACATCGAACAAGATATCAAGCGAACCATTTTTTTTTATTTCAACGCAAAAAACAATCAGAGCAAATGCTGTCAACTTTAGAAGCTTTTTCCTTCTGACTATACGGCTATTGATGTTCCGATTATTGGGCAGTTCATGTTCTTTCTTTTTTCCACGCAAAGACGTTTCAGTAATGATTCGAACAACATTTTAAAATTTTCAAAAAATTGTCTCCGTGTCACGAAAAACTGATTTGAAATTTTTGAGCTTTATCTTACATTTAAGTATCTAGAGCAGTTAAGTAGGCTAAATAAAAAAAAGATAAGCCAAAGAACTTCCATTTAAGAACTGGAACTTTAGTAGTTTTAATCCAGTTAAATTAGTTTTCGAATATCTTTTAGCGCCATCTTGGTAATGAAATCTTCAGATAAATGAAAAAATATATATGAAAATATATATATATATATATATATATATATATATTTAGAGTTTTTAAAAAAATCTAGTCAATGTTTACTGATAGTGTCAAAAATGTCTCAATTTTAAGCTTTCGTTCAGATCTTTTCATCACACCACGCACAAAGAACTAATTGGATAAAAAATTGTTTCGAACTTTATTTAAGAATATGGTTGTAATTTTTTGTGCAACCTGCAGAGCAGCCAGCTATTTTTGTTTCGAAAATTACTTTTTGCAATTACTTAAATTTTTGCAATAAATGATGTACCAAATTAATTGCTCTTGATTTGTTAGTGCTTTTTGAAAAAGAAATTCAAGCAAAAAGTATGAAATTGGCATCTCAAAACATCCTTTGAAATTTTTTTTGAAGTACCAAAAACTAAAAAGTTTCAGCTAAAAAAATTGCAAGAAGCTAAATGATATTTTGTGATAGTAGCCAACAAATTTTGAAATCTTGGAACCAAACAAAAAAATTCTAAAAATTGAAATCTTTTTGAGTTCCAATGTCTTCCTCATTAAATGACTGAAAACATCAATATCAAGGATAAATTTGTAACATCTTACAAATGTCATTTTACCAGATGGAAAATATTAATATTAGCGTAGTGTTCAAATTTTTTTTTGCCAAAAGAAACACCGTAGCGGTCCAAAAGATGTTTTTTTTTTGATAGGATCTTTTCAAGAACAACTTTAAAGATTTCAGTAAAGTATGAACATCCTGTGAACTGCAAGAGGATAATCCGCAGTTCTAATAGTTTCGGTAATTTGGTTTAACACAATTGTTGATCTCAACTAAACAACAAAACTATTTTACCCAGAACAATAAGACATTATGTAATTCTGCGTAATATGAAAGGAACGGGAAACTATTATTCTCATTAAAAAATACTTGCATGAAACAAATGCTATCAAAAAAGATAAAATTGATTATAAAACAAGGGTAACCGGTTGATGTGCATGCAGCTCCAAAACTGTTAACCTTATGAATTAAAACTTTTTTTTATAAATTTTGTCTGTTTTGTGCAGGCTGTGACTGGAAGAACTAGAGCACAACTTAGAATATGAATGAATTAGGCAAAAAAACTTAATTAATCAAAGACGGAAATTGAATAAGGAATAAAATCAAGAAAAAATCAAAAATATTTCCTTTTTTTTCCAATTGTTTGAAGAAAATCTTATTGAATTTCCAAAAAATGTTTTTTATTACCAAGGAAGCGCTGAATGAAAATTGAAAAATATTTGTCCTGGGTTACAATAAAAAGATAACGGTTTGGGGGAAAGCATTTTGTCCTATCATAACACATACTTGCTCACATTACTCAAGTTTTGACTGAAAATTAAAATATTACAGTTCCGACTATTTGAAAACTCAAGAGGAACTTTAATTTCGGGTGTTTTGGTTTTTTCTTTTTTTTTCCACGCGAAATCAGGTATTCAAATTAATCATCGAAATGGGACGAGTAATATACCAAACTTTCAATTACACTAAAACGACCTTAAAATTGTCCTTTCGAACAACCTTAAAAAAGTTTCAAAAAATTTTCTCAGTATCGAGAATAACTGGAACAAAACTTTTAATTTTTATTTCAATTTTGAGCAAATAAAGCGAGCGAACAGGCTTTAAACAACTTAAAGCTTAAAACTTCTTTGTTTAAGCCCCGAAAACTTAGTTTTAAACAAGTTAAAATAGTTTTTCAGCGCCATTTTGGGAGCCAGAGTTCAAAATGTATGATTTTTTTTCTAAATGTTTTTTTATTTATGTTTTTCTAGTCCTTTTTCTTCAGAAATTTTGTCAAATTGGCCTATATTACTAAGGAAATATTACTATTGAATTTTTTTTGGAAATATTTCAAATTTGTTGGAATTACTGCTGCAGGATTGTAATTTGATATATCTGTCAATCATTTTTTTAAATATTGTTAGTCCCTGATTTTTTGAGGGAAAAAGTAGAAAAAACTAAAGCACCCGAAAACCAAGTTCCTCTCCACTTTCAGTGATTGTAACAAATATATGATCTCGGAGGAGCACTAAAAAGGTCAGTTATCTGCCTTTCGAGTGTTTCTTCAACATTAATTAACTTGTGTATATGGTAACTGGGCTTGTGAGAAAATAGTATTCACTCGAATGACAAAATTTCCCAATTACGTAATCCTTTGTTTGTTAAAGAGAACGCAAAAGCTAAAATCTGAAAAGCAGTAGCATATTTTGGGGGTGGAAGAAAAATTTGGCTAAAAAGGGGTCTTTTTAGTGATTTGGGAGAGCTTGGTATATCAATTAGGTCAACCTAAAAAAATGTCGACTTTTTAAATCCCCCCTCGAGATATTCCTTCTATCTCCTCCTGCTCAAATGAATGAATGAATACTAAATAGAAGCAAATTCGTCGTAAAGTGCAACCAGAGGAATTTTCGAAAAAATATATGTCGAAAATATGTCGAAAATGTAGAAAACATATTTCGAAAAAAATATTTTCACTTAATTAGTTTTTTGTATTTATTCATTTTTTTTATCACTAGAGGATCACGCACAGGACATGATGGGTTTCCGGAAACAACTGCGGCAAAAACAATACTTTGATGCTGTTTGTTCAACCAGCTGCATTTTGAAACACGATCAATTGTTTTTATCATAAAAGTCAGAGTAATCTTCATAGAAAAATCTGTTCTTAAATCTCATAATCTACTTCTGGTACGACAAGATTATTTCAACTTACGATCACGCTAGGACAATTTAAATCAGAATTTAAATCACGTGGTACGACATCTGAGAGTCATTTGAAAAAGGATTGTGAAGTGATTTGAAAATAGATTTCAGAGAGATATCAAAAAGAATCTCAAAGATTTGTTACGGAGGATCTCAAAGGGATTTAAAATTTAGCCCAGACACCTGGAGAAAATTCGTCCGTGACACTTTAAGTAATCTGGAACATTTGGACACAGATCAACTAGGGTCTGTAGTTGATCTGTTTGCAAATGTTCCAGATTACTCAAAGTGTTTTTTTTTCGGCGCGCTCCCCCTCAAAATCAAAATATATTGGAGCCATAAAGTGCCTTTAGAAAAGTTTCAAGCTCAATCGGCCGACAATGAATGTTGTCATACTGATACCCATATAAATATATACATCAAAGGATTATGCCAATCCGGCCGGATGACAAGTGTTGTAAAATAGTACCAAAGGGGTGAACTTTTGAGTGGTGGGGGGGAGGGGGGGTTTGCGGGGTCGAATTTCCGAGGAAGGGGAAAGAAATGTCCGCGAAAACTAGTGACAATTTAAACGAAACAAAAACACGCAAAATTATCGACTGACAATAGATTAAGAGGACGCTTTTAGAACTGAATGTCTTTTTTCAAGCGCCTCAACGGTTTGTAATTATGTTTTCTGTTTGAGTCAACTCGACTACTGACCTCGTCACATGCGGAGCATCGTGGCCGCAGCAGTTCGGCATGGTGTCTGCCACAGTACAACTGACCGTCCTTCGAATGGTGAAAGTAGATCAGATCCACCAACTGTTCCTGGCAGATGTTGCACGTGAAACACGTGGGGTGCCACAGTTTACCCGGTCCCACCTTCGGAGCTGCGATTCCAATGTCGCCACTGTGCAGATTCAACTTGCACTGCAAAAAAAAATCACAATAATTGAGGTTTCTGCGTTTCGCAGAGGATCTTTGAAGGCTATCAAGGTTGTCTAGGCATAGTTCATTTCTCTTATTTCCCCACACTCTGGATTGAGTTAATTTGTTGAGACAAGCCTTTTTTTAACTCAAGGCCGTTTTTTTTTCGCATAGATTTTTTTCGGTGTTTTGTTATGAGGGATCCCCGGATATTAGTTGTTTACTTTGAAAGATATCAAATCTTTTTGGCTCACTTTTTCACATGGGGCTGTGTAGTGTTCTAATGGGAGTTGTTTGGTGATCCCTCGTCCAAGCGCCCTCGTCTTCCGCTCGTAGGAGAACTCGGCGAAAGCGAGGTTACTCTGTTCGTCTCGGGGGGCACCTGCTAGGGGCAGGATGTCGTGTGGGGGCAGCTGGGAGACCAGTTGGCATGCTCTGTGTTGTTCGCCGACACTGTTAATCAGTGGGACCTTGTAGGGCGGCAGACTCGCGAAGTAAGCTTGGACCTGAAATTAAATTATTTAACTGAAATTAGTCATAATAAACTGTACCTAGATTTGAAAACTTGATGGTTGTTTTTCAATGATTCAGCCGTGGTTTAAGTTTTGGCTCTTAAGTTCTTAGTTATAAAGTTCATAGTTAGAATCAATGATGACCATTTAAATCAGACGACCCTCCTTCCTCTCAAAAGCCCCCGTTTTTGGTACTTTTTTTACATCTCATTTTTAGCCTTTAACGTCAATAAATAAAAATTTCAAGAAAGGAGCGCAGCCCGAAAAAAACGTTCAAAATGGCCCAAAAAACGGTAGTTTTGGGCCTTTTTCTGTGCGGGACAGAAAATGTTTCCAAAATACGGTCTTTTTATAGTGTTTCGTAAGAGCTCTGAAAACCATCCTTAGAAAATTTCGATTGAGACTCTAAACTCAGTATCAAATAAGCATCACTGATTAGAACCCATCGATAAACACTTTGTAAAATTAACTTGTTTGGTTTTTTGAATATTTATCTCTTTTGGTGAAGTTTAGTCGCTTCAAATTAACGTCGGTTTTTCAGCAATAAGTGGTCACCGGAATAACCAAAAATCAACATTTAGATCATGTTTCTACTTCATTTTGACAATGTCCTGTTGGAACAATTTGTGACGCTAACAAATATTGTATCAACTAATCTCGATAATTACAACTTCCGGTTTAAAACGTCATTCGTTTGGTCAATTTTCAATCAATGCACAAGTTTAAAACAAAGCTTTTTTTGATTTAAGGATGATTTTGATTTTCGAATTCATTTTTCAAAGTTTTTTTTTGCGCTCTGGAGACAATGCGCTCGTAGCTTGATATAAATTGCGTTCCGAAGAGGATATAGACCAATCTTTTCCCTTCAATTATTGCATCCAACTTTTTCCCAATTAGGTGCTTTTTTCAATTTTATTCATACATTCATTTTCGGCCAAAAAAGCCGTAAACCGAAAATTTTATTGAAAAAGGGCCTACGATATCAATTTTTTGGCCTAAACTTTCAAGAATGCAAAACAATAGACTATGTTTTACCAAAGAAAACCTCTGGCGCTGAAAATTGTGTTTAATAAGATTATTGCATGGTTGCAGAAAATTGTAATTGCTCTGAAAAAATGTCGTTCAATTGTTTCAAAGAAGCCTTCCCCGAAAAGATGATTTTTTAAAATAAATTGAGAAAAAAAGTAGTCCCACTTTTCCCAATCAAATGGACGACCACAAATGCGAAAGACTTAAATCGACTAGTTCCTATTTCACAGTTTTTGTAACAATTAACTAAATAGTTTCCGACCTGTTTGGGAGTGAGCCCCGACGGCACCCATGCATATTCGCCACTTCGACTGTCTCGATCTGTGACGTAACATCCACTGTCAGTATCTGACAGAGACGAGATTGACAGTTTGTTATTCACCCCCACCCCCACTCCTGATTCTGCTGACATGACTGAAGTGTTGCCGACGTGCCCCACCCCCCCTTGTGGAGTCTGGTGAGAGAGTGTCCCCACCCCCAGCATGCTTGTACATGAGGGGTCGTTGAAGAGGTAGTTGATCACTTTGTTCACGCTGCTTGGATGCGCCATATGGCCGCTTGAGGGACACCCACACGTCACACACTTGTGCCTGATAACAAGTTAATAACAAAATAAACCAAGTTATAAATCCGATGAATTAATACTTGAGCCAAACAAATAAAAATCGGCACTATTTCAGTGCGTCAAAGTCAATAAAAGTAAATAATGTTTGTTCAATTGACAAGTGACGTTGTGCTTTTCAAATAAAATAGCAGTAATGAAACTCGAAAACAGCGATTTTTTGCCAGCATGAAGTTTAAAGTCAGTAATTGAAAAATTAATAATCTAAGAACAAATAGGAATGCCAATAAATATTTATTAAGAACAAAATCGAGAACTGAGTATGAATAATATTTTTGTTTGGTTAAAATTGTTTGTCCGGAAGCGTCAGAAAAAAAAATCAAAATTTATGAACCTTAAAAATTTTATTTTTTTGATGAACATAAAAAAACTATTTTTTGGTTAAAATTAGAAAATATGAGAGAAAAATATTCGAATAGCAAACAGTTTTGATGTGACAAATAACCACAATAACTTCTTAATTTGACAAACTTGACTGAAAATTTGTTCTTTTGATAATACCAATTGCACAGAAGAAAAATTTGGATGATGCTTTTCTTTACTAAGACGCAACAAGAGCTCACTATTTAGCACATGACGATTAAACAAAAAGCAAAAGTAGCTGAAGTTATACATTAAAAACTGACAAAAACTACAAATTAATCAAAATCTCAATTTTATACTTTTTTATTGTAGTCATATAGTTGTTAGACTTATCAATGGTTATATATTTAAACCAAAAATGATACTTCGCACGTATATGGTAACTTCTTAATGATGATTTTACAACATGTTAAACATATTTTGTAACAAAAAAAAATAATTAGCCATTTAATGGTGTCAAAAGTAAAACTCGATGATCGCATTGCCGTTTGTTGGCATCTTTTGAAGCAGAGAACGCCTCTTAATTAGGTTTAAATAGCTCCCAAAATAGAAAATTATTGCAGACATCAGCTGAAAACATCTTTTAAAGCAATTTTGAATAGCAAAAATTGTAACGAGACAGGTTCAATGCAAGTTGAAATAATTAGTGTCGTTTGTCTGTTTCTTATATTTTTAGAGATTATCATCTTTAGACAAGTTTAAATTGTCTAAGCTTATAAAAGTGTCAAAAGGATACAGAAAAACAAACGGTTGCGGTGAAAATAGGTTTTGGTGCCGGCAACAGTAATCTGAGTAAAACAATTGAAAAATATGGAAAAATGTTGACACACTTTTTGATTTGTTCACGGAAAATTTTATTTTTTTATTTAGTGTGAGGGCTCTAATTAAGGGTTATTTTCAACAAGGTAAATTTCAACGATGACATGATTATAGCAAGCGTAATAACTAGAATACATTAATTTTAGATCGGAAACTTATTCTACTTTATGAAAAAAAGAAAATTTCAGACCAACAATTCTCGATACCGACGATACTTTTGGAAACTTTGGAAGCTGAACCTCGATTAATGTATGTATCTTTTTTATGATGCCACACTTGCGCTTCTACGGAATTTTTAAAACCAAGTCCCATAAAAAACCCTCACTTCACCACTTATTTCCTCCCTACTCATTTCATAAGGGTCGATAGGTGGTGAGGTCATACTAGTGGGTCGAACAAAGCAATTTATGCAGGGAGAAAGAAGCAAGCATGATTTAAGTGTGGACAACCTTGACGTTTTGCAAGGGACTGCAAGCAGGGGAACACAAGGTTCTCCTGTTTCTGTGCAACAATTTCACTGACAACCTCATTGTGGATACAAGGTACAGTGGTTATGTGGCGTGCGACAGGGCTGTCTTTTTAGATTTGAGGGCAAAAGGGCAACTGAGTAGTACCACTATGCTACGCTGTCAAGGGCTGAGGATCAAGAATCACTAAAGAGAGATATTAAAAACTGCCAAAACGTTGTGAGAAGCTAAATTTTCCGTGCTGTCTACGCTGAGCTACATTTTGATTTTGATAAATGTGATCTAAGCAGTCACTAGAAAGTCAAGCTCCACTTTTGCCGCAGATGCTTATCATCTACGCAACCAGTTGGGAAAAAGCTAGTAATGAATCAGAGTGGCACACCTTTCTTCCTGCAGTGCAAGTTCTGGAGGAACACGATGACTTTAGTGACGAAGACAAAGAGGGAGAGCAGTGATGCGCTGTATTGGAAGAGACAAATTTGGCACTTTAACCAGCAGGATGGTTCATCTCTTGTTGATGTGAGAGAACTAGAGTTCTGCGAAGCGTCAACAGTTTCCAAAATGCATGAAATAGCAGTGCAAAAGAACACCAACAACAGAGAATCGGCAGTGGTGCAGCAGCTTCAGTGACATCCATGGAGCAGTCAAAGTTGCGAGCATGCATATAGTGCATCATATCTTGAGTTTCACTAAAAATTTTAGTGGGCTGGCTGTTGTCAACTAAAGGGTGAAGAGGAGTGATGCCCCTATTGAAATCCATAAATTTGTGGCTGAGCATTGATCGCTGAAGGGTCGGCAATCAGACAATGTACGTGACTTGTTCGTCAAACATTTTCATCAAATGTCTGGATGCGACATACTCGTCAAACATATTTTTGAGAATGGTGTAGCAGAAAGTTAAAACAAAGTGATCACCGTAAAGTTTCCATGCCTACTTGCCTAGACAAAGCCGCCGAAAAGATTACGATTGCCAGCAAGAATCAAAGCTATGAGGTTTAGCAACTTGCCTCCTACATCATGCAAATAAGAAACGAAGTTGGCTTTCACTGACGGAGATGCATTATGGGATACCGTCAAAAATGTGCTATTTGCATCCGTTCAGAAGCCTGGCGTACTTTCTTTACCGAGGCAACATGCCGAGGCATATGTCATCATAATATTTAGAAGAGCAATTTCATTGGTCACGCAGAGGAGAGAAAATCGTAACTCAAGATGTGTCCAGAGACAAGCCGTATGGTACGGTGTTCAGGAAGCGTAATGTTCAAGTAGATCATCAGTCCTTTTGTCCAGTAGTGCCTTGATTTTGAGAAACCGCTCCAAAGGCGATAAAATACACAGTCCAGAGGGTGATACCACAGATTCAGTGGTGGTTTCTGAAGAGAACGCAGTTGAAGAGGTTCCTCATTCTACTGAGAGTTCAATGCAGAGACCAACGGAATCCACTCAATCGATATGAAGTGGTCTGCGCCCATGCGTCAGCGATTGCAATCAAACCGCCAATGAGTTACTAAGAATCAGTGCCTGAGCCTAAAAAAACTGTGGCTGGCAGCAATGATTTTTGAGTTGAAGTCTCTAGAAGCCAGGGAAACGTGCATATTTGTTGGTAGACCACGCTATCGCAAAGCTAATTCTTGGCGTTGGATTCTCGGAAAAAAGAGAGGCATGCGACTGGGAAAATAGAGCAGTTAAAAATCGACTGGTAGCAAAAAAAAAATTCACGCGAACGGAAAAATTAAACTTCAATGAGACGTCTGCTTCCCAATTTGAAGCCCGAACTTGAGCGAAAAGTGCTGTTTTTGGGAGCACAAAGTGAGCTCTCCTCATTGATTTGATATCAGTATTTTTCAATTCTGCTCTAATTGAGAGATCATATATGGAGCAGTCAAGACAAACTCTAAGACAAACTTGACAAGATGAGGGGCTGCTTCTCCGAAAGTTCAAAATGGACGACAGAGGCGAATTGTCCTGATAACTGGCAGTTCAAGCACTAATCTCGGTCAGTATTTGCGAATCAATCACGCCACAACGACAAGTGCTCAGATCATTTTCGCCTAAGAGACTTGGAGTCAGATGTCACACCAGCGGTTATCAGCGCACAGTTGTCAAAGAAGGACTGCCCTGAAGTTGGGTCAGAAGGAGTGGTCTCGGATGTGTCCACGAATGCCAAGGGCATCAGAGGCCTTTTGTGCTCATCAAAGTGGATAAATTAGCAAACAATGACGGATATCTTGGCCACTGTGACTCATCTCTCCCGCTTTTAACTAAATGTTTTGTTATTCAAAATATCCACCGTTTTTGCCAAATTTGCTTTCAATCTTACGAAACTGTAAAAAATTTATTTCTGTGTTTTTGTTTTCAGTAAACACACTCGACAAGAAAAGACCTCAATTATCGTCAGCAGTTTAAACAATCAAGATCATAGCATGAACTTTTAGCTCAAAACAGGAACATTTTCTTGCCCACAATTTTCATAATAAAATGGCACTAGATAGTCAAAACAGACGGTAATTGTCCTTGAGAAAAGTTGCTTAAATTCCAAGTCTGCTTTATCAAAAACGAACCAAAATAGAATGAAAAAACTTTACAATCGGAAAAATGGGGCACCAGCACCTTATTTTTCCATGAATAAAAGTCGGAATACGGGACGCTCGAAAACGCACCGGCCTGAACGCTGTCTATATACGCTAGTCTACAGACTTTTGTCTTTTGAGATCTTGGTTCAATCACATTTCAATTGTTTTTTGTTTATTCATATTTATACTCTTATTTACATGTGTGCTCAACGTCATTTTTTCAATAAAACTGCATGCGAAGAACGCGCGGAGAAAAGTTTTGTAGAAAATTGCATGCAGCCAATATAAAATCGCGGTCAACCCTTCTTACCAGTGGTTTTTTTGCCATATCACCAGCATGATCCCCTCTTATTCTGGTTTTTATGTCTGTGTTTGTTCGCCTAACAGCTAACGTTTTATGATGGCGCTTTCAGAGTCCAAATGCTCTAAGATACAGGGGCGCCATAGAAGAATAGTTTTCAGAATTTTCCCAAAAATGCACCAAAACAATTATCAATATATCTCAATAATTTTGACTGTGGAGCAGTGTTTTTTTAGTGTAATTAGAGTTTTTTTTT